TTTGACTAAAATATGAATAACATTTTAAGAAACCAAATGTAGGATAAATTGTGTAAAGCAATGGGCACAATGATAAAACTGTTTAAAGCAGTGTATGCAAGTCATCCTAAGTTAAAATATCGTTTATACATCTCTCTTATTTATATATTTTTTTTTTTCTGAACGGAACATTGAAAGGCGTGTAAAACTGTGCTTTACTGTATTTTCTCTTTTAATATAGTATGCAGTTTTCAAACGCATCGTAGTCTGGGTTACAAGTATTCTTCCGAAAAAACGCAGTTCAAATAAATAAAATCAAATTCTGGAAAATTGATATTAATAAATATATTTAAAATGCTCAGTTCAAAGGAATAAATAGAAAATTTTAAAACAATTATCTGAAGAGACAATGCAACACAAACAATTGAAATAAAAGTAATAAAAATTTTAAAATGACCTAAAATAATAGCTATGACGAAAATATATATATAAAGAAAAACTATTTGAAAAAATAAATAAATAAACGCTGCACCTTTATTTACGCAGTTCGAATAGGTAAATAGAAATTTTTAAAGCAGCTATTCGAAAAAAAAAAAAAAAAAAAAAAAAGTGCAACTGAAACAATTAAAATGAAATTCGAAAAGAAAAATTACTTAAAATAATAAGTTATAATGAAAAATATAATATAAAGAATATTATTTGGAAAAAAGGAACGATGGTGACTTTTTTTCCTAAGGAAACTAGGTTTGCCATATATTAAGAAGTTCGCCAAGTGAGGTATTCTTGGCGCAAACTGACAAAAAAGTGCCAACATAAATTTGTGAATTTCTCCGTAAATTTCGCTCCAAATTTTACAAAATTTCATATTTAGGCGTAATTTGAGTCGTAGAATCGAAATATGTAAAAAAATTGGTATGTTATTTCAGAAAAAGTCCGATTTTGTGTCAAAATACCTATGTTAGAATAGTGCTATATATAAATCTAATATATATCCTTAGTCGCGCTTTCGAGACATGAAGAACGCAATTTGAATTTTGTCAATTGGCCCAGTAAATCGGGAGATATAGGACTGTCCCATTTTTTTTTTTTTTTTTTTTTTTTTTTTTTTGAGCAGTGTACTTGTTTATGTTTTGGCATTTTTTAATTTAAAAAGGAAAATTATAAAAATAACGAAATCTAACTTAAATCAACCAACTGGTATGCCGAAAAAATATTCATACAAGTAATTTATAAATTTCCAAGTGCTAAATATACGTTATAAATTCTTCGTGTAAAATTGTATTACCTTAAAGTCATAACCTAATAATCATATAAAAACTCATTAAACGAGAAATATTTTTAATTTACGCATATAATGTCATCAGTTTCTAACGTGCCATACTAAAGCCCGCCGCAGTTTTCTAGAACACAATTTCCGCTCTGTGAATAAGATCTAATCTATTTTTAGTTACATTTATCTATTATCTTTAGCATTAATATAGCAAATTTAGAGTAATCAATACTTTTCATGACAATCTGCATAGAAATGTTTGTCGCTTAATCTGTAAGCAGAAACATTCTTCTAGGATGATATTTGATTTTGAGTACAAACATTTTTTCTTCAGTTTGTATACGGCTGCTGAATGTGATCTTTATTTTTAAAATGAAACATCTTGGTCATTTTTTGCTGCATTAGAGTCTGACGTTTTTGAATTTTATTTTTCCTAATGAGAATAACATTTTTCAAAATAAAAACACAGGAGCCAAGAAAATTATAAAAAGTTAGATTTCTTAGTTTTTTACTAAATAGACTTTTTTAATTTGAAAATGTCTAGAAAAATTTGAGTCATCTAAAATAATTTTGTAATTGGAAGTATATGTGGGAAATGTATTGCTAAATGTATATGTATTTGCAAAACAGAAACCGGGTAAGGATTTTGTGATTACTGTGTATAAGTATTATAAAGTAAAAAGCAAAATATGCTAAATAATTATAGTTCACGAGCGATATTTTACGCTTAGTTTAAATTTCTTGTAAATGTTGTTTTATAAAACAATATTTATAAGAAATATTTGAAATATTTATTTATAAATTAGTTTCTTCATTGCTAATGATGATTATTCTTCTTTTATTTATAGTGTGTTCTTGCTGTTTTGAATATTAATTTATGTAACGAATGCTTTTTTTCGTTGCACTAGTTTATTTTAATTTGAGTCTATCGTGGAGGCCATTAGGTTATTAATTCATTAAATCGAGAGTTGTCTGTATTTTCAAAACAAAATAATTCAAAAGTAATTATTAGGAGAATTATAAAGCTATAATAAATAATCTTAAGGTTTTTTTTGTGCACGAATAGTATCATTGTCAAATACAACATTAAATGTATAAGTAAATAAGGTGAAAGACAGACAGAAATTTCAGAGTCTCAAAAGATTCTCTATAGTCAATAGTAATAAAAATAAGCAAAAGCATGATTCAGTTTTTTCAACTGAAAAGACAACTGACATAGATTAGACAGAAATGTTTGATTATGGCAAAGCGCACTAGAATTATTAGGTTAAAGGAAGGGATACCTTTTTGGAGACTTTCTAGTAAAATCTGCCTCGAGTTCAAATTTCATTTAATGAATGCCACTATAATGCCCATATTGTAATCCGTCCGCCAGGATTCGCGTGAACCATCCAAAGAAATCTGATGTTTCTCCATACTCATCTACAAAGATATGCATATACCAAGCTAAACGGGAATTCCAATTTGTTTAAAAGTTTTGTCTTCAGCAAACTGAAGAGCCGAGTATTCCAGCAGCATCTGCAGTCCTTATGTACACCGATTCAAAAAAGGGGAGAACAGTGCTATATCTCCCGTTCTACTCGGCCTATTGACAAAATTCAACTTATGTTTTTCATGTTTCAAAAACGCGAAGTAGGATATAAATTAGATTTACATATACGTAACATTTCTAACATATTTATTTTGACACAAAATCGGACTTTTTGTGAAATGGCATTCATATTTTGATTCTACGCCTCAAATTACGCGAAACTGCCAAGTTTTCTAAAAATTGTAGAGGCAATTCTTTTACAGTTAACAATCAAAATTTTAAATCCGCAATGTTAGTTAAATTTTGTATATATTTAATAATATCGACTTTTAAATTAAATTTATTTAATTTCTTCTTTCACAGTTCGAAATCTAGGTTTAAACCAAATAAAATTCATACATTTTTTTCAGATTTATTTTGAAAATCTGTATTTTAAAATAATTTTTATAAATTCTTCAAAACACCTTTTGAAATATAACCACTAAAAGTCTTACTGTCAACTTAAAAGAGACATTTTTAGGCATACTTTCAAAGTGTTATGGTTTCTAATAAAAACTTTTCTCAAGATATAAGTGAATTTATATATTGGCATATATAAAATTTGCCATAATGATGCCAAATGTCTGAACAACTTGAATAATGAAGCTGTGGAAAATTGCTTGTATGCATATCATACTACATTAAAATGTAGATTATACATCTTTCTCATTTATACGTCTCTTCTAAATGGCCCATTGAAAGACGTATTAACCGTGCTTTACAGTATTTTCCGTTTTAATGCAAAATGCAATTTTCAAAAGCATCGGGACGAATAATGTGTTGCAATTCTTTTGCAAGAAATACTATTCAAATTTTAAAAAATCCTTAATATAAACATGCTAAAGTACACAATGCGGTAAATAAATAGAAATTTTTAAAATATCTATTTGGAGAACTATAATTCAATCCCACAACACAAATAATTAAAATAAAATTCTAAAAAGAAAAAATCTAAAAATAATAACCGTGATTAAAAAATATAATATAAAGTAGAATTATATGGAAAGGAGAAGAAGCGATGCTTTTCCTTCAGTTGGCGCAGAATGAAAGGAAGAGTGAAATATATTTCTGTAAACGGAGAAGTTCGCCAAGTTAATTTGCGCCAAGGTAAATTTCCGAATGGCTGTTTCAATTTCATATCAGATTTTAAGAAAATTTGACTTTTAGGCATAAATTGAAACATATAATTAAAATATGAAAATAAAATGGCTTAACATTTCAGAAAAAGTCCGACTTTTTGTTAAAATACGTATATTAGAACAATGTTATATATAAATTTAATACATATCCAAAGTCACGTCTCTAAGACATGAAAAACGCAAGCTGAATTCTATCAATCGCCCGAGTAGAGTAGAAAGCATAAAACTGTAGACTTCTCCTTTTTAAGTCAGTGTACATTAATCTGCCTATCTTTGTATAAATGGAAATAAATGAAATCAGCCTCAGAATAATCTCAATTAGCAAATTTCGAAGCTGCTGTTAAAACTGGCCGAAATTATATATGAAAATAATTCATTTGTAACGGATTTTTCTTAAGTCTAGGAAAAGCATCTTTTACACGATGAGCCATAACTTCTGCAAAAAGCAATTCTGTTTTTCTTAAAAATCGTTTACTAGAGGAGTTCGCAGCACTGACTAGCGATAAGTTCTTACTGAGAAATTTTGTCACTATGGAACGCTTCACAGGTGAACAGCGTACTTTTATTGGAAAAATTATTTTACAAAAGTAGTGATTCTTATGTAGAAGTTCGTCACCTGCATTGGTTATTGAATGATTTACATGACATTAATCAGTGTTCAAGTATTAATATAATTAAAGAATGGATTAGGAAACGCGAACAAACTGATTCTAAGTGTTCAACAAGTAATGATTTCGCAAAAAGAAGAAAATATGCAAAACTTTAGACAGTCCATATGGATCTTTGGAACAAAGTTGCAATAACTTCGAGGCAGTTACAAGAAGACCCAAAAGAAACTGGATGGTATATATGCCATAGTTTAAGCATGTCGGTACCTGTGTTTAAAATTTATTTTCGAAAGCGTAAAAATTTATGAACTACCTTTTATTTCAAGCATATGTCAGTAGAAACCATGAATAGAAATAAGTCTTCCATAATTATGGTTCTGCATGAAATATGTGCACCAGATCGGAGAAAGGCCTTGTTAAAAATATGTACTTACTTGGAGAATCTTTCATTCTCAACCTGGGATCTGCGCTTTTTCTCAACCAAATTATTATCTCCGTCAGAGGAAGCTGTAGCCACAAGATTACGACCATAATAATCAATGCTTATGATAGCACCTGAATGAAGTCTCTCCCAGTCGCTGGATTCCACATCCTCCATTCCATTGTCGTAGAAAACGCTTAAGGTTCCAGAAAAACCACCTGCAAAAATCTGAAAGCCGATGAAAGACAGAGATAGTATGGTAAATCTTGCATGAAATTCTCGAAGACAAAGTCCCAAATGGAAATTCCAAACCTTAATTTTGCCATTTCGATCTAAAACAATAGAAAGATTACTTAATAATGAAATATATTGGGTTGTAAGGATTTATTTACTACGTTCCGATTATTATAAAAACAATTATGAGATAACTATGAGTCCTGAGAACTTTCTTTTAAGTCAGGCTGAAATAAAATATACGTATATATTCTTTTCTGAAATCAGTGCTCGTATGAATTCAAATGACTGAGAATATTTTGTGAGATTTAATTTTCAATCTTTATTTTCTGCCCCTTGGAATCATCTCTAACACTATCCAAAGAATTAATGTCTTCGAAAAGCTTGTTAATTAAAAAAAAACTCGTAAGTACAAAAATAAATGCAATATTTGCCAGATTTGCCAGTAACGAATGTATTATTAGCTCCACGAAGTTAAAATAATTACAAACTAAAGCTTGCATAGTTGCAAGGAAGAGACATTTGTAGTACATGTACAAACTTAGTAACAATCAGTATCTGCAGGATGCGGCTTACGACGTTAAATATCCCAGAATGAAAATGGTTTACATAATATTTTATTTTTCAAAATATAATATAAAAGTATAGATTAAATTATTCATTAGAATGTAAATTAATAATGTGTCTCCTTTGTTGACCTGCAAATTTATTAACACATGTATAGCATCATGTTCTTAGGATGCCTTCAGATTTATAAATATTCATGTAAAAGACCGGAACTTTTTCACAGCAGAAATTCGCCGTCTTCGAAACATTGTGGACATTGATTGGATAACACATGGAAATCTGGATCGTTTGCTTGAACATTTTATACTTCGTCTGATAGTCGGTATCCAAAATATTTTGGAGAAATTCACTGTGGCCGCCACACAGCTCCAATATTAGTCTTCAAGACTGTAGAGATAGCAGGTACAGGTAGAAGCTAGGCTACCAGCTCTCTAGTACCATAGATATAGGTATAGAGGTATTGTTGTAGTTAACTAACTTGCAATTTGGAATTTCGAGAGAAAACGGTGGTAGAGGAAGAGGGGTGAAAAAGACATGGATGTTTGTATGTGTACAATATTTGTGCAGCAAGAGGTCACTCAAAATACACAGAAAGCCGAAACCCTCTTGAGAGGCTGGTGGTAGAGGAAGAGGCCTGGGAAACCACTCCTCTACTTGGTTTCCCAGCCCTCTTCCTCTAACACCTACCTGTATTAAATTAGTGTAATTAACTAAACTTTTTAATAAAATAGGTTTTAAAATGCTTTTAATTCGCTAACAGCATTTTTTAATTGACAAAACTTTTTTTAATTCAATTCAATTTTATACCTGCTGTTATCAGACGTCGCTGTGACGATTCAAGGCCAGCAGCCATGATGTCCACATTATTCTCAAAAATATCATAATCTATTTCCGAGTGATTATCAGTGAATTCGAACATTAGTGATCCGGATTCAGGGTCCCAGAGAGCGACCACAAATACGTTTCCCACTGTGATTATGCAGTCGAAGATCTGATTGTAAGCAACGAATATTATAAATTCGCTCCCTGGGTGCGTTGTCAGACGCAAAGATGTCTGACGACTTTCCAGTACAGCTATCCGGTTAGTGGTCAAGAACAACTTTCCTAAAAATCAGACAGAGATATGTTATGTATACACGGCAGATTTATTATGAAAGCAATAAAATACAAAATAAAAACAAAAAGCATTATTAAATCCGTATTAATCACAATAACAAAAGATGCCGATACTAAGAAAGAAAGAAAAAGAAGAAAGGAAAAAAACTAATTGAACATTTTTAATATTTTCATTTTTAAGCTATTAACATCGAACTGTTTTTGAAGTTGCACAACTAATATTCAACTGCGCTTTCTACATTCACTGCAGCTAATAATCTAGGATGCATTATTTCTTAACTTTAGGAAACATTTTTCCGTATTATAAAAGAGAAATGAGGATAAGGAGACTTTATTTTCCTTACGATTTCATTAGATTTTTAGCAAATATTGCCAAACTGCGGCTCCTAAGTGCGTGCTTCTTTCTGTAAGAAATCTCGCGTTGCCTCAAAGAGTAGTTTTACTGAAACGTAAGGGGGAACAGAAATTATGCGACGGTGCTCTATTTTTAGCATTTGAATAATTAAAATTTTTATTACATTATATGTATGATAGTTTTACACACTTTTAAACCGTTCATTTATTGTTAAAGTAATAACCAAATGCAAATTATTTCCATTCCTGCAATATCTACTCTAGCGATAACACTTTTACGTATGGTGATGAACGGATATTCGAACAGCTGAAAAGAAAAATACATTAACCAGGTTACTCATGTGCCTCAGATCTTATATTAATATCATACGAATATGTGTAATTTATAACTATAACGAAGAAACCAAAATTCATTGGATGATCTAATTTTTTACCTAAAAACGAACTAACTAATGAATTAAATAATTTAAGATTAGATTCATCTCCGACGTTTATATGGGGAAAAAAATAAATTATAATTTTTTATGCAAAACACTGATCAATTGATAATATTGTTGCGTGCGTACGGGTTCGTAATAGATTGAGTGCACAACTCCGATGAAAAGTTAACAAAATTTATTCTTATCATAAAAATAAAACAAAATTCTGAAACTTTTCCTCACAGATATTCGTACAATATCATAATATCAAACAGTAGTTATATTTTAAATTACTACACCGTTAAATAGAACTCAATTCAAAGCGCAGTGAAAGCTAATCCGATCTCAAAATTACAGCAGCTAAGTAAACAAAGTAGCTCCTTAAAACAACTGAACTGAGATGTTTTTCTCCAGCATTTTAAAGCTTTTTAAACAGTCACGAGAAACTTATGGTACTTTCGTCGAGGTTTTTGGAAAGTAAAAGAGTAGAATTGCAGTTACAACTAACACACAATTGCATTTATTCAATTTAAATATAAATTACGAGATATCTACTTATTAAATGCGAGTGCTCCTGTACTTTTACTTTTTCGGCATAGCTTTCTCTTGGTCACGCGAAGCACTGCACTGGAAAATAAAACAATTTTAATTACAATTTTACTAAAAACAGCTAGCTAAACACAAAATCCGTAACAATATTAAAGGAACTGTCATGTCTTGAGAATTACAACTCCTCAGCAACATGTGGTATCCAATTTCAATTCATCTACGTTTTTCAGAGCAACTCATGTAGATTAAGGGAAAAAAATCGTTAGTTTTGTTTTTCGAGTTACTGTGCTATTTTTTCCTTCAGCGAAAAGGTTTTTACATTTCTCTGAAGACCGCTAAGTTTTCTTTCACTTTGTAGCATACTCCTATTAAACCATTTGATAGTTATTATGAAAAGGGGGAATGGGAAAAAAATGCTAAGCTTTCTATTTGAAAAAAAAATTCAGCATATCCTGCAAAAGCATAAAAACTGTATATCGTAAAAGCGAACTTTCTTGAATGCGAAGCAAAAACGACATTACTTATTTATTTAATTATGTTTGTAAAATGCCCCATTAGTTAAAAATAATCCTTTTTAATTCACTTCAAATATTTTTGAAATGTTTGAAGTGAATTAAAAAGGATATTCTAAAGGATTTCTATTCGAAAATGAATTTGCTACTTTTAAAGCTAGTTAAATAGTTGCGTCTCTTGAATACAAAATTCAACTTTCGGATCCTAATGACAAGAAGTTTGATCACCCATGATATACAGGGTGATTATAATTAAAGTTTAAGTTTCAAAACGCTATAAAAAAAGAACCACTGATGAAAATGATGTGAAATTTGAAAGGAATGTTATTGAAGAAGGCGGAAAGCGTATGGCAGAAGAAAAAATTTATTTTCAAAAGTTAGCAACAGATGGCGCTGTAAGCGGCAGAATCACGACGAGAAACGAGAAATGATTCGTAAAACAATGGCTAAGGTGGAAGTTACACATTAAAACGCATTGACAAATTAGAATTGTTGAATAATTTTATTTGCATGACTGTACATATCACATCGAAAGGGACAAATCGGTTTCAAGAGTTTTGCCCCGACATACAGCATAAGAACCATTCATCAAAGAAGTTCGGAACTGTCGCGAGACTGGCGCAAAACATGTTCAATATGGTGTCCACCGTTGTGTGCAACAAGTTGAAAGCGACAAACAGCATGTTCCACAACGGATCGCAGTGTCTCCGGGGTGATGTTCAGAATGTGTTGCGAAATGCGTGCCTTTAATTCCGCTAAATTTGCAATTGGAGCACGGAACACAACATCCTTCAGATATCCCCACAGCCAGAAATCACACGGAGTAAGATCAGGCGATCGGGAAGGCCAGGCTGTAGGGAAATGACGGCTGATAATTCGAGCATTTCCGAAATGGCGCCTCAGCAGCTGCTTCACGGGATGTGCAATGTGCGGAGGAGCGCCATCTTGCATAAAAATGATTTCATCCACACATCCACGCTGTTGCAGAGCTGGAATCACGTGGCTGTGCAAAAGAGACGCATATCTCTGACCAGTGACGGTTGCGGTAACAGGACCGGAAGCACCCGTCTGCTCAAAAAAATATGGTTGTAGGATGAATGATGCCGTAAAGCCACACCATACCGTGACCTTTTCAGGATGAAGTGGTACGGGGAGCGTTGCCAGTGGATTTTCTGTTGCCCATATTCGACAATTCTGGGTATTCACGTATCCTGTCAGATGGAAATGGACTTCATCTGTCCACAAAATTTTCCACGGCCATTCATTATCCACTTCCATGCGATCCAGGAATTCTAACGCAAACGTCTTCCTAGCTGTCAGGTCAGACGGAAGCAACTCCTGCACATGACCAATTTTGTACGGATAGCATAGCAGGATGTTTCATACAATTTTCAGCACCGTGCTCGTAGGCCTGTCCAATGTTCGGGCAATTCCTCGTGCACTGCACGGTTGCACACCACCGGCCGACGCCTCCTGTAATGCTGTGGCCACTTCTTCAACTACCGTCGAATGCACTCATTTTCTCCCTCTACCAGATTGCACATAAAACGAACCTGTCGTTTCGAATTTTTGCATCATTTTCTTTAGACCTACGACACTCATTGGACCAACGCCTTCTTTCTTACCCTTCAGTGTCCTGAATTTTTGCAGAGCTACTCTTGCACAATCATCATTCTTGTAATACAGCTTTACCAGCAGAGCGCGGTCCTGTAGTGAAACACCCATGGCGAAGTCTGAGACTCGAAATGAGGAACTTCCTGGTACCTGGCAGCTTTATAACACTGAAATTTAACTAACATTTTAATTTACGTCTTCTTCCGCTTGCAGCGCCATCTGTTGCTAACTTTTGAAACTAAATTTTTTCTTCTGCCATACGCTTTCCGCCTTCTTCAATAACATTCCTTTCAAATTTCACATCATTTTCATCAGTGGTTCTTTTTTTATAGCGTTTTGAAACTTAAACTTTAATTATAATCACCCTGTATATAGTCTCAATTAGTTTGGCAACAATTTGAGCTTTAATAATTTAACTCATTTTCGGAAAACTGCCATTTTGATTATAGTTTCTTATTAGATTTATTCTTTATTTAATCGTTTGAGCGGATTACTTTTCTAAAATTGTACTTTTCTGCATTTCTGTCCCTATAATTAACCTAATAAATTTAAGATCGTATTTCTCTTCACCTACTATTTATTTTGCCTAAAATTATCCTGCTTAATTTTATATATGTATCTATCTCTTTACGTGTTTATATACATGCATCATAAGTTGCAGAAATATTACGTTACCCATCTCTGTGTCCAGGAATGCCGAACAGAAGGGATGTCTACCAGGAATTTCGACATCCTTGAATCTAAAATGTTGAAGGCACGTTGGCCTGAGTAAATCCCAAACACGCAAATTTCTCTCTCTGTCCACGGATACTAGAAAAAGACGTTTCTCATCCACCAAAACATGGGTAACAGAACTCATATGACCCGGAAGTGATTCCTAAAATATACAACCACAAATGCTTTTGTTACATGGTTATATCTATTTGAAATTTTAATCTGCAAAGTTACTATTATTTTGCATTAACCAATTATTTACAGTTTCAGCCTCTGTTATAACTTCTGCTTTCCGGTTCCGTCTCAGAAATGTAAATGAGTTAGAAAATATTTAAGGTTTTTGTATAGTATGAGAGGGCGTGTTTCTGCTTCTCGAGCCCACAGTTCTGCCTTTCCTATTAGGTTTGTAATTATTCCGCTTTGCGTTTTTTGTTGCCGATTTAAACTGGTATGCCGGTTAGTGTTTTCTGAGCCAGATAGGCTTAAATAAAAGTGTGTGTAGCTTTGACTACTAGCCTAAGTTTTAATTTAAATTTGATTGTTGCTTTAGTTTCATCGCCACGTGTGATAGTTTTTTTAAGCACAAGACGTACACTTATGTTTAAATTCTGTGTTAATAAAAAGATTGTTTTAAACCTTAAGTATCTGAAGTTACTTCAGACACAGCGATAATTTGCTTTACACCTGTTAAGATATTAGAACTAGTTTATGCTCCCAAAGAAAGTCATCCTCTATACATTAATCTCCGATTTTATTTCAAATGACTAAGATGTAAATAACGGGTGGCCATAATTAAACTGACAGTGCTCACAGTGTTCTGTAGCGCGAACTATTTGCGAGAATGACGCCACATTTTGTAGGAAGATTAAACAAGACGGGGGACGAAGGATTCCGAGAAAAACAAAATTAGTTCCAAAAGTCACCGCTAGGGGAATATTTGGCGCTGTGTAATAGAAAACAGAGTGTTAACAAATGCAAATCAATAGGGAAAATACCTTTTATTTTGCATTCAAATGATGTTCAATGTGGCTGCCGTTGTTGTGGACCACATATTGCATTCTGTGCACAGTATGCACAACAGCAGAAAGTAACATGTCTGCAGGAATCTCCCGTACAGTCCGTAATAAGTTATCCTTCAACGTAGCCAGGTCCTGGACCACTCCTTGATAGACCTTGGACTTAAGGTAACCCCACAGCCAAAAGTCGCATGGGGTAAGATCAGGCGACCGAGGTGGTCATGCAGTTAAAAAGTAGCGGCTAATGACTCTTTCTGTTGTGAATTTCTGTCGTAGCATCTGTTGCACCCGTACAGCAACGTGTGGAGGGGCTCCATCTTGCGTGAAAATGATTTCCCCCAGGCATTGTCTTTGCTGAAGTGCCGAAATGACAAAGCTGTTCAACATGTGGCGATATTTCTCTCCGGTAACAGAACAGGTTTCCGGTCCTGTCGGGGTAATGTTCTCATAGAAGAATGGACCTACGATAAATACCGCTGTGAACATGGCTGATCTTGTACGGATAGAAGTTGATAATCTTTCGTAAGATTTTCATACCGTACTGTAAGTCATATCCATATTCCATAAGGCATATCCATAATAAAAGGTAATTTTATTCCGTATTAATTTGCATTTGTTAACACTCTATTTTCTATTACACAGCGCCAAATATTCCCCTAGCGGTGACTTTTGGAACTAATTTTTTTTTCGCGGAATCCTTCGTCCCCCGTCTTGTTTAATCTTCCTACAAAATGTGGCGTCATTCTCGCAAATAGATCGCGCTACAGAACACTGTGAACACTGTCAGTTTAATTATGGCCACCCGGTATATCATTATCTGTGGCCCGGCTATTACGTTCGGTAGTCAAGATGATAAAAATGCCTGATTCGTCGATGTTTCTATATTTGCATTCGTAAAATTATTTTCTAATCCAACTACTGCATCACTAACAAAAGTATTTTGTAAAATAAAAAATCCTGCTGTGGAACACCACATGACTTCCTCGCTCAGAATATTAAATTGCACGCATTTTTTCTCATTTCATTTAAACTTATTTCCTCGAATTTCATGAGATATATTTCTCATTAAATTAATTCAGCTCTCACTGCGCTGCAAGGCAAAAATACATAAAGCATCTTTATTAAAAATTGAAAGACATAGAAAAACATGAAACACCAAACAGAGTTATAACAAAAAAAACTTGCAATTAAAATTACAGTTTTTACGAAAAACAAGCAATTCGGCCAGCAGACAAGAAGGCAGATTTTTTTTTTTTTTTTTTTTTTTTTTTTTTTTTTTTGTTCATAAAACTAAAAGTTTCCTGTTGGTTACCACTCGGCAAAAAGATGCTGAAAGTGCAGAAAGACTTAATTTCCTATTCTGCTAAGTTTCAATTGTAGACAAATATGAGTGCTATAGTAAAAAAAAAAAAAATTATTGCGCTTAAACAGTAAAGTTTACCTGCACTTAAACAACTTTTAAATTGTTGATTAGCTGCTCTATTTTTAAATTGTTGATTATCTACAACTATTGCATGCAGATTAACTAAAGGCACGAAAACCTTAACCAGGAGATAAGAACAACATAATTCGATAACTTTTAAAGCAAAAAATGCACAATTTACTAACATATAAGAATAAAAAAACTTTATATATATATATATATATATAGGTAATAGGAAATTCTTCATGCTATATATATATTTATTTATTTATTTATATACTTTTGGTGTGAGTAATTGCAACCAAAAAGGAAGGTGCATGACTGCATGTTACAGCAGTCCTAAATACAAAATTTTAACGTTCTAAGGCATCTAATTTTTGAGTTATTCGAGATACATGCATACCTACAGATGCCAAGAATATTCTGTTTTGAATGCATTTTAAATCAGTTTGTTTTATAATTCGTTTGGGGGGAAAAAGTCCTTTCTTCTGTCCTTACGTACAGATGTCATGCAAAAACGCAGTTAAATTGCATTCGACAGCGGCCAAAATGGACATTTTCGTTGAAATGTGGTACCCGGAATTTTTCTTGATTACAATACTTCCTTCACTTCGTACAAGGAAGTAAAAAGAGTGTAACTTTAACAAAAATTCATAGCCTTAGAAAAATACGAAATACTTCAGGCACTAGACTAAAAACAGTGTAATTTATTCAATTTTGTAAATGAAAGCTAGAAAACACCCTAAAAAGTAAATCATTAGGCAAAAACACTTTAATTTGATATTTCAGTTTCCAGCTTAACACCAGCCTTAAGAGGAAATACCCAAAACTAACCTGAATAATTTTAATCTATTATACTGTACTTCATATTATATATTTTATTCCTTTAAAAGTGTTTTGCTTTAGTATCCATACAGGCGTCCCAAAGCTTTATGCAGAAGAATGGAAGAAGAAGCTTCGAAATAGTTCTGGAACTCTTGACCAAGAACGCTATTCAGGGCATAAAATGTATTTTCTTGTACTTCATCTGCCTCAACAGATTGCCTTTTTTAATCATTAAATTACTTTTTGAGAGCATACTTTGCATTTGGAAATAAAAAAACAGTCTCACTAACTGAGAAGTTTTGATAAGTAGCTTAAGAGAAACACAAGCATAATTTTTTTATTCCACAAAGTTATTGGAGGAAGAGAGTTTCTCCAGAGATTTGTTGAAAGACTCTTTTAACGTTTTTCATTAATAACCCATCGCACTTTCTCAACGTTTTCCTTAGTTTTGTTTGTTAGTGAATATCTAAGTCGTAGCAGACTTCAACTATGATTGTAATTTTTCTCAACTGAGTTTTTTCTCTATAGCGAACGAAATTTCACGCTTACTGTTGACTTTTTGTTATCACACATTATGAAAATGACAGGTCGCTGATAACAAAAATATGCACAAATCAGCACCAAAGACAGTGCAACCGTTGCGATTGCACCTTGCGGTAGCATTTAGGGGCGGCAAAAGTTTTAGAATTTAGAGAGGAGCCTATATAGCGCGGAAAATCCTTAGCAAAGCTAGCAGCATGATTTGTAATTACAGAATGCTTGCATATAATGCTGTCGTTCCTGTTGCTTTACAGGCATACATATCGTAGATACGTACACTGCTCAAAAAAAAAAAAAAAAAAAAAAAAAAAAAAAAAAAAAATGGGACAGTCCTATATCTCCCGATCTACTGGGCCGATTGACAAAATTCAAATTGCGTTCTTCATGTCTCGAAAGCGCGACTTAGGATATATATTAGATATTAGGATATATATAGCACTATTCTAACATAGGTATTTTGACACAAAATAGGACTTTTTCTGAAATAACATACCAATTTTTTTACATATTACGATTCTACGACTCAAATTACGCCTAAATATGAAATTTTGTAAAATTTGGAGCGAAATTTACGGAGAAATTCACAAATTTATGTTGGCACTTTTTTGTCAGTTTGCGCCAAGAATACTTCACTTGGCGAACTTCTTAATATATGGCAACCTAGTTTCCTTTCCCGTGAGAAGAAAGAAAGTCACCATCGTTCCTTTTTTCCAAATAATATTCTTTATATTATTTTTTTAATTATAACTTATTATTTTAAGTAATTTTTTCTTTTTCGAATTTCATTTTAATTGTTTAAGTTGCATGGTTTTTTTCGAATAATTGTTTTAAAAATTTCTATTTACCTATTCGAACTGCGTAAATAAAGGTGCAGCGTTTTTATTTATTTATTTATTTATTTTCAAATAGTTTTCTTTATATATATTTTTGTCATAGTTATTATTTTAGGTATTTTTTAAATTCTTATACTGTTATTTAATTGTTTGTGTTGCATTGTCGCTTCAGATAATTGTTTTAAAATTTTCTATTTATTCCTTCGAACTGAGCATTTTTAAATATATTTATTAATATAAATTTTCCAGAATTTGATTTTATTTATTTGAATTGCGTTTCTTTCGGAGGAATACTTTGTAACCCAGACTACGATGCGTTTGAAAACTGCATTTATTAAAAGAGAAAATACAGTAAAGCACAGTTAACACGCCTTTCAATGTTCCGTTCAGAAAATATATATATAAATAGGAGAGATGTATAACCGACATTTTAACTTAGGATGACTTGCATACACTGCTTTAAACAGTTTTATCATTGTGCCCATTGCTTTACACAATTTTATCCTACATTTGGTTTCTTAAATGT